AGAAGAAGAAGAAGAAGAAGAAGAAGAAGAAGAAGAAGAAGAAGAAGAAGAAGAAGAAGAAGGGAGGGGGAGGAGGAGGAGGAGAAGAAGAGGAGGAAGAGGAGGAGGAGAAGGAGGAGGAGGAGGAGAAGAAGAAGAGGAGGAGGAAATTCTTCACTTACCTGAAGCAAGGGCAACAGCTAAAGCTTGCTGATTTGCAGCACAAAGTATTTGGACCCCAATGGGGAGTGTGGGACACGCCTGTTTTACCGAGGCACAAATCACCGCCATAGCTGCCGTAACCTCTGCACCAACGTCGCATGTGTAAGGCCGGTCGTGCATATTTTCAACAATCAAGCCGTCCTGTGGGGAATAAATGCAGAAGACGCTATTCAAGTCAGAAGAGCTTCGGAAAACGGCTCGAGGTAGAAGAATCAAGAACTACGAAGTAGATAGGACCAGGCAGGTACTTCCTGATTTACGACCGTAATGGAGCCTGCTTGTTAAGTGAATGCATGGTCGTTCAGCAAATGCCATGGTCTTTAAGCAAAGCCGTTGTTCACTATGGGGCATTTTTGCTGAAAAGTGGGAATTCAACACTGGTTTTGGGCAAAAAGTGTAGTTGTGGGACCACAGATGCTACAAACAGGGGTAAATGTAAGCTGGTTGCCCAGGGCCCTAAAATGCAATTATGTGATTGTGGGAAGGGTAATGGGGGCTGCTGTTGAAACTCTGGAACTAGGTTGCAAGTTCTGTTTGGAGGGGTCTGCCATAACTCGGAATGGTTGCTAAGAAACTGGCTGTAAAGTCTGTAGTCCTCCAGGTCATGGTTGTCCCAAAGGTGCTTATTCAGGAGGCCGCTGGGCTTTCTTGTTTTTTCTTCTTCGAAGACATTTTGCTTCTTATCCAAGAAGCTTCTTCAGCTCTGACAGGATAAGTCAGAGCTGAAGAAGCTTCTTGGATGAGAAGCGAAACATCTTCAAAAGAAAAAACAAAGTCCAGTTGCCTCCTGAATAAGCACATTTGGGAAAACCGGCTGTAAGTTGAGGCCTATCTATATCTGTCTGCTCAGAAGCCTAAAGCAACTCTCTGGAAATTCTGCTTTGTCACACAAAGACATCCACTTGGATGTGTGTGGTTAAGCTTACTGGTTTGATGCTTCTCGCTGGCGTGAATACAAAAGACTGCTTATGTAGGAGAACTTGCAGAAGTTAACAGCAAAAGCTTACAAGATGATGGAGAAATATATTTTCCCAATATCTTTCAAAGCAGCTTACTAAAATGAAAACAGGCACTTGGCTCCCTGTTCATCCTTCCTTCCACCATCTCATGTATCCTATATATCTCATATATTTTGCTGGCTGCGTTTGAAAGATCACATCCTGACTTAATCAGGTCTTAATAAAGACTTAATGTGAACAAGTTTCTTTTTCTGACTTGTGCACGTTGCTTTTTTCTCATTCCTCCTTTCGAGCATGTAATAATTAACCTCTGAAGTTCTCAATTAGCTATACTTCTTCGTGATGTATGAACTGGGAAACGACGGTTGCTGGTTTCAGAAAAAGGTAAAAAAAGATTTGGAATCTTCATCTAGCTTCCAAATCGTGGTTTAAGTTCCGGATGCATTTCCCAGTTCAGATATTCCCCAGTTCAGGCATAACAAGAATATGATTAATAGAAAGCTCCCTGAATTATTTTAGTCTAATCATGTCTCTCGGGGGGTGGGTGGGAGAATAGCTACAGCATGTCAAGAATCATGGTGTGTGGAACATTTTCTGTTCTCCTATTTTGCTTTAAATCAAGCATAACAAGAATGGAAGATTGCTCTTAAATATGGGTGCTCCATCCCCGGAGATTGGACAGCCATTTATGCAGAATGGTATAGGGTCTTTGCTTGAGCAGGGGGTTGGACTAGAAGACCTCCAAGGTTCCTTCCAACTCTATTATTCTATATCCTGTAACATTTTCATAGATGAACTTAATAATAGATGACCCAGGGTGAGATACAAAAGCAATGAAGTCACAAAAACAGGTGAAGTCCCTTTAATTCCTTCAACTTGGCTTCAAAGGTCCAAATATCATTGACGGGAGAAAAAAACTCCCCCACAAACAGTTGTGAAAAGAAAGAACTTCTGTTCAAACTCAAAATACATATAAGTTATAAATAGAAAAAACAACACAAACCACACTGATGCAGTTAATGAGACGAGGCAGGATAAGGACTTGAAGACGTCCACAGATATCGAAATACACATACTGGGAAGGACGCCAGAACTCAGATAAGAACTGACAGACTAGAATTATTTCACGCTTTGTTTCCAGCACGGGGCCATGCGCACAGTTTGTCCTTTTAAACAGTCCTCACAGCTGCAGCCCATGAAGGGGATCAAGGCCCTTTCCTCCCCAGTAGACCATGCCATTCACGTTTCTCCCTTATTCGCTCCTCCCTGCGTGCCCTAGGATGAAGAGAGGATGGGCCTGGGTCTTTCTCTGAATGCCCAGCCGGCCTGTGCCCTTCCCCAGTTTCCTCCACAACCTCCGGAGCCACACTCCTCTCCCTGTAGACCAGTGATCCCCAACCTTTCTTATGCCGCAGCCCGGTATCCCCAACCTTTTTTATGGCGCGGCCCGGTACCGGCATTAGCTGGGCGCCGCCATCTTTTTTTGATGAAAAAGTGCTTCCGGTGAGCTTTCTACCCGGAAAAGCTCACTGGAAGCGCTAGCACCGCCATCTTTTTTTGATGAAAAAGTGCTTCCGGTGAGCTTTCTATCCGGAAAAGCTCACCGGAAGCACTTTTTCATCAAAAAAGATGGCGGCACCCAGCAAACCAGCGGCCCGGTAGGACTTGTTCCATGGACCGGTACCGGTCCGCGGACCGGTGGTTGGGGACCCCTGCTGTAGACTATTCCTCCTCTCCCTTGGAGTCAGATTCTAAGAGGGGCATGACAAGAGCTTTGAAGGATAGTATCAGTGTTAATGAATCGAAAACAATACTAACAAACAAAATTAAGGCATTAAGGTAATATTAGATAGGGAGATATATTATATTAGCGTCTGTGTCTCAAACAGAAAAAAACAGCATATTTAACCCAAATGTCATCAGTAATCATCCTCTTCAAAAATGTAGCTTTACACAGGTAGCCACAATCAATGTATAAACATAGTGAAGTTCAACCCACCAACACTTATAATTATGTCAACAGCATCTTTTACAAAATAGCAGCCACAAAACAATTGATAAAGATAGTAAACTTCAATCCATAGACATTTAATTATGTCACTTGCATCTTTCCAAAGAAGAGTTTAAAGTCTGTTGGCCTTGAATTATAGCTGCCCATTTTCACTAATGGTAATCCCCTCTCTTCACACTATGGGTAAATTTCGAAGGAAGAATTAGGACTGAATAATAATGTTTAGGGACAATACATCACCGACATCTGAAGTTATAGCTTCTCCAGTAACATTAATGATGAGTTACAGATATTTTACAGACAAATATTAGTAATTCTATAAAAATGTCACTGTGTTTCTCTCCCTCCACCCCAATCCTTTTAGAACAACAACATCAGAAACTGGCAAAACTGAGAGGCCTCTAAACTCCTTGGAATCTCTCACCGCATATAATCTTGTCACGGCAATTTTGATTGTGTTTGGCAAAACAAGCACAGAGCAGCTATAATTTTTCAGCACAGATGGCATCATGTCTGAGCATTCACTTGTTTTCATTTATACGCTCTAACATTATAAATCTTCCATATTTATTACGTTCTTTTTAAAAAGAATCACTAATGCATCAAACGAGGCACCTTTAAAAAAAAAAACTGAAGATGTGCTTTCATCAGTCATGTCTGCACACCCCGAAATAAAAAAGCTTGATGTACATGTGATTTTTGGGGGGGTGGGGGAGGGGAGCCAGTTGTTTTTCTATTTCAGTTTCAGCACTCCTTATCCCAAAAAGAGGCTTAGGAAAGCTGTGAAAAGAAATGGTTACCAACTAAAATGTGATAAAATTGGGAGGAAAGCTTTTGAGTTCTCCCGAAAGCCTATAAAGCTAAATGTTAAAAGGAACAGAGTTGGGGGAAAATATTAAGAATTATGGATTTGCATCCCAAGTCTGCAAATTACAGGCATGTTATACTGAAATGCAGGATAAACAGCAATACACAAGAGAAAGACTCCAAAGGTGCTTTTTAAAAAGTCAACTCTACTTTTTTTTTCCCCTTGAAGACGTTTCGCTCTTCATCCTGGAAGCTTCCTTAGTTCGGAACTGAGTTTTTGACTCAGAACTGAGAAAGCTTCCTGGATGAGAAGCAAAACGTCTTCAAGGAAAAAAGAAAAAGAAAAACCCAGTTGTCTTTTGAAAAGCACCTTTGGGACAACCATGACTTGGATGATTGAGAATCTCCGCAGACATTTAACTTCCAATGACTTCATGTAAGATGTGCATGCATACTGTTAGCGGCATGGCATATATGGTTTGCCAATGTCTTTTTCTAGAATTATTTTTAAAGATTCCTTTCAATGGTTGATTCTCAAGATATCTTGATAGCCTCCAATTGCAATCATGATGCTAGCTAGGCCTGGATCGCTTCCAAACCCACTCAAGATTAGTCAGGTTTTGTTATCTTGAATGCTTTGTACTCACATTGAAGAATTAAGATTAAGAACTAAGAATATTCAAAAACAGGAAAGAAAGTAAAAGAAAGGACTTACCACACTAGCAGCCCTATACATTTCAGCCTCTCCACAGGCTTCTTCAATGATCTGAGCCAAAGGCAATGTACTGCAGGGTGATCCTGCAAAGATGAAGATATATATTCATTAGTGCACCGATGCAACAATGCATTCATTAAACTTTGCCATACTCAAAGACAAGTGTATTAAAAAAGGAAGCAAACAATTACCTAACCTCTTCTTTGAAGTCATTTGTATGCTGATTACTTCCTCTGACATTAAAGAACCATATTTTATTTATTTATTTGGCCAAGTGTGATGAGACACACAAAGAATTTGTCTCCAGTACAAAAGCACTCAAGTGTATCATTGAACTGAGTTAATTCATACTATATAGACCGCCTTCAGAAATAAATGCAAAGCACTGGCCATCTGATTTATGAATTTCCTTTCCTTCAGGACTAGATCATATAAGTTGATACAGCTTTGGGAGTAAGTTTTAAGGCAGACTTGCTCTGTAATTGCAGTGGAAGAAGAAACCTTGTTGGAGAAACTGAGGTAGACCAATCTAATTGGCACAGTCCAATATAATGCAAGGATCCAGTGGTATTGTCCATACTTTGCAAACAAAATGTCCCCAGTTTGAACTCCTGGTAGGCTGGCAGAGATGTTAGAGATAATTTTATTGGAAATTTACTTTACATCCACCAAGGTGGGTGGATCAATTGGTCTGTTGAGCTATGGTGGTGCAGTGGTTAGAATGCAGAATTGCAGGTTAACCCTGCCAATTGCCAGCAGTTTGATTTTTACCGGCTCAAGGTTGACTCAGCCTTCCATCCTTCCGAGGTTGACCAAATGAGGACCCAAATTGTTGGGGGCAACATGCTGATTCTGTAAACCGCTTAGAGAGGGCTGGAAAGCACTGCGAAGTGGGATATGAGTCTAAGCGTTATTGCTATCGAATAGTAGGAAAACTATCTTCTACCTTCTCACCCTTATTAATATCCCCATTTATCCCGTGTCTTTTAAAGAGAAACAGCAACGAGAAGGCATTCACCTGGCAATGCTCTCACATGGACCATGCCAAGGACGACCGATTTCAGTCGCCCAAAAAGCCGCAGAAACTTCTGCATCTGGACAGGAGAGAAACACGTTGACATCAGCTCCTCGCCAGCAAACTGCATTGAAAGAGTATACATCAAGAGATTTATCTCCTTCTCCTACATCAGAGGTGGTATTCAGCAGGTCCTGTCCAGTTCTGGAGAACTGGTAGCAGAAATGCTGAGTAGTTCAGAATACCATCCCTGACTGGCCCTACCCCCATCTATTCTCTGCCTCCCCAGCTGATTGGCTGGGTCTTCTTTTGTTGCCCTGCACAGGAGAACAGAGCTGGAAAGCAGGTTATTGGGGTAGGGAGAGAAATGGGGATTTTACAGTATCCTTCCCCCTGGAGTGGGGTGGAAATTTGGATTTTACAGCATCCTTCCCCTGCCATGCCCACCAAGCCATGCCACGCCCACCAAGCCACGCCCATAGAACTGGGAGTAAAGATTTTTGAATCCCACCACTGTCCTACATACTCTAATAATGCAAAGGGGGAGGGGCATGCGAATGTGCTTGTATGGGTAAATGTGTTCTGCCCACACTCAGAACTTGTTTTCAAGATTCACAATTTTCTGGGACTCTTATTTCTATGGCGATTTCTCCCATCAAGAGTTGGCCACTTGCCTCTTTCAGATGCCACAGTGTTGAAATTTCAATTGATGTAAGAATTGTCATTTACTGTCCAAAATAATCAGCAGATTTTATTATTTGGCCCACTAGTTGGACAAAGCTCTTAGGATGATATACATCTGTACAAAAATGAAAGATAATAAAAACAGAGGTCAGTTAAATATAATTTAACGAAGAGCAATCAAGGTAATCTTCAATTACAACAGTTCCTTTATGATTGTTCAACGTTACAAACGGGATTGCAAAAAGTGACTTATGATTTATGACCTTCTGACAAGCAAAGTCAATGAGAAAGTTACATTTGCTTAACAAACAGGCTACTAACTTTATCAACAGCAGTGATTCACTTACCAACTGGGGCAAGAAAGGTCATAAAATGGGGCAAAAACCACTTAACAAAACTGAACCCCAGAAATTTGGGGCTCAGTTGTGGTGGTTAAGTCAAGGATTGCCTTGTATAGCAACGTTTGAAATTTAAAACCAACTCACCTGACTAGTGAAATATATACTAACTGCACCCTTAAATATGCAGAGAGCAATTAATTCCAACCCGAGAAGGAACCCGGAGCCGCTGGTCGATTTTGGAAAAATGGAGATGAGATGCCCCGATGATTGGCATCTCCCGCCCACAGCTGGGCCGGGGGTGCAATCCCTAAGCTCAGTTGAACAGATTTGCCAGGGAGCAACCGGGATCTCTCCAAAGTCTGCGCCCAGGAATGCACTTTGGCAACTTCCCGCTTTTCCCTTCCACGGGATTCCACCCCGCCCCACCGGCAACCAACTGTGGGCTCAGTTTCCTCCCCCCCCCCTTCGGGGATTCCCCCCCCCCCCCCCCCCCCCCCAGGCTCCCACGCGCGCTCGCTAAACGCGGGAGGAACTTCCCCGTTGGCTCCTCCACCGCTTATTCGCGCTCAGACCGAGCTTTACGCACTGGTTCCTCCGCGCCCCGCCTCGCCTCGGCAGAAGCCCCGCCTCTCCGGGGGGCTCCCTCCGCCCCTCCCCCCGCTCCGGAGCCCTGCTGGCCGGTTCCCCGCGCTCACCTGGATGGGGGGTCCCTCCGCCCTTCACCTGCCGGAGCCCCGGCGCGGAGAGGAGGAAGAGGAGGAGGAGGAAGAGGCGTCGGTGCGCGCGCGGAGAGACCCGCGCACAAGGCTGCGGGCGCTGCGTAAATGCCTTCGCTCGGAGCCTGGGCCCGCCCTGTCCGCCAAAAGCCGCGCTTGCGAGCCGCGCAGGGGACCCGCCGCGCTACGAGGAGGCGCCCAACGCAGGCCCAGACGAGCCCGCCTTCCTGCCCGCCCGCCCGCCAACGCCGCAGGGGCGCACGCCAGCGCCGGCAGCCAGAAGTGGCCTCCTTCCCTCCCTGCGAATTGGGGAAGGGGCTTCTCGGGGGCTCTTTGCAGAGGTATCTTTAAAAGAGGGGAAGGGGGATGGCAGGGCCTGTCCTAGCCACCCCCACCCCCACCCTTGAATCATTGCATTTATTATATTAACTAGATTGTGCGGTTTTGCTTGAATAATTTGGGGGAGGGGGCTTCCTATGTACCGTCAGTGGCCGCCACATGTTGGCTGAGCCATATTTGGAGAGAAGGGGCTTCTGGGGGTGTTTGCAGAGGTATCTTTAAAGAAGGGAAGGGGGGATGGCAGGGACTGTCCTAGCTCCCCTCTCCCCTTATAACCATGGCATTTATTTATTATTATCTGTTTCATGGTTTTCATTGAAGGCTGGGGGGTGGGGCAAACTTCCTAGCCACCATCAGTGCCGGGCACATGTTGGGGGAGTTGTGGCTGAGCCATATTTGTCCTGAGAGGGTTTCTGGGATTGTTTGCCAGGGTATCTTTAAAGAGGGGAAGGGGACAGACAGTAGGGCCTGTCCTAGCCTTCCCCTGATACCCATTGCATGTATTATGTCTATGATATTGAAGGCTGGGGAGTGGTCTTCCTGTCCCCATCAGCTGCAGGCACATATTGGGGGAGTTGGGACTGAGCCATATTTGGGGGAAGGGGCTTATTTGGGGTGCCTTATTTTCCTATGGGATTTTGATTGCTTTAGAGGGTGGGTCCTTGATGCTTGCTGATTTTTTTTTATATATACATATTATAAATAAGTGTAACATTTTAAATACAGATACTTGGTTTCTGAACAGTTTTCTAGTTTACAGTTCTTTGCTGTTAGGGCTTCTGGCTTCTTGTTAGGCCGGCAATTGTTTCTTTTTTGCTTTCCTAATAATCCCCCCCTTCCCTTCTGGGCCTTGCTAAGAGTCACATCAGTGGTCTCTTTTTTAAAAACCAATTTTTATTCTGGCTTTGCATCTTTGCATCCAGGAATGGTTGTTCTTTCTCTTCCCTTTTTTTTTTCTTCTATTTTTTTTTGTTGTTGTTGTAAATCAAGTTGCCCTCATAGCTTGCAATATTTTTTACAACTGATTTAGTGAAGGGGAAAAAAAAACCCCAATCTGCAACCATTTTTTTTTTCTCTTTTAGTTTCTGGCTGGGCCTTATCTTGATTTCTCCAAACCACCATGCCTGGTGAGAGGTGAGTTGCATATTTGTCTTATGCTCCACCCTTCCTTGGTTTCTGAAAGTAGGCCTTCTGCTCTCTTCTCTAAATTAGCAAGAAAGTTTCTGACTCCAATAATGAAGATTCAACTTATTGCTGGGTGTGGTTGCTTCCTATCCTCCTTCCTTGCTTTACTTGATTTTTACCCCACCTTTATTACTTTGTAAGTAACTCAAGGCTGTAATAGTCTCTCCTACTCCTATTTTACTTACAGCATCCCCATGAGGTGAGTAGGGCTGAGAGGGTGATGGGTCTAAGGTCACCCATGTGATTTTTATGACTAAGGTGGGACTAGAACTCGCCATCTCCTGGTGATTGTCCCAAAGTCACCCATCTGGCTTTCATACATGAGTTAAGACGGGTCGGCAACCTTAAACACTCAAAAGAGCCATTTGGACCCGTTTCCACAAAAAAGGAAACACCGGGAGCAGTAAAACCTTTCCCCGCGCCTCACTTATTTCCTGAGCGGCCACAAAACTAGCGTGTATAGTTGAATTAAAGATTCGGTTTTCTCCTCTTGGATTTATCCATGGTTAGCCTACTAGGGGTCGAAAAGCTCCATAAATCGCTTGCCGCTGGATGTTGCATGTTGGCAGTTGGGATGCATATTTTGAGAGACAGGGAGCCACAACAGAGGGATGAAAGAGCCACATGCGGCTCCAGAGCTGCGGGTTACTGACCCCTGAGTTAAGACTAGGATTCACCATCTCCTAGTTTCTAGGCCAGAGGGGGCTAACCTTTTTGGGCTCCTGTGCCGATAATTGCGCGCCAGCACCCAGAAGGCAATGCATGCGGGTCCCCCATGCCCCCTGCGCATGCGTGAGCAACACCTCCCCTGCGTGCTGTGCGTCTGCACATGCATGCATGCCCCCTGACCATGCATGCCAGATACCTGACAATAAGCTGGTGGGCGGTGTGCATGGATGCACAGTAGACCTGCTCTGGGCGAGGGCTCGTGTGCCAGCAGTAATGGCTCTACATGCCATTTCCAGCACGCATGTCATAGGTTCACCCTCACGGTTCTAGGCCAACACCTTAACCTACCACACCAACTATGCTGAGTGGGAGAGGATTAAGTTAGGTCTCCTTATTCATATCAATCATATACCCACCTTTTCCACACAAGTGATTTTGGGTGGCTTACAAAATTCAAACAAACCCCTCCCAGCCCCCCCCCCAGACAAATCAGTAGAGCAAAACTCACTTACCTCCTTGCCCAAATGCCTGGGGGGAAACAGCTGGGTTTTCAATGCCTTGAGAAAGACTTAACAGGGTTGGGCTATCGGAGGCTCCAGGGGATGCTGAGCCGTAGGGCAGAAGGCATGATTCTAGGCCCCAGTAAGATTGACCTTATTTAGAAGAAGGGATCCTCAGCATGCCATCTCTACTACATTTGGTGGGGTGGGCAGAAACTGAAGAAGAAAGGTGAGTCCCACAAGTAGTTTTGGAAGTTAAGCTGAACCCTTCACGTGAAATGAAGCTTACTTATTTGGCCAACAAGATGGCTGTCAGGGCCATCAGACTTATGATTTGAAGGGGGGTGGCTGTCAGGGCTCTGACAAACCACGCCCATTCAAATCATAAGTCTCTAGCTGCATCCCTCAGAGTAAAAAAAAAAAAGATTTATTAGGAGTGACCATGTCGGCATTACCTGGATGCAGCCGACTCTAAGACACATCATTCATTTCACCCTTGACCCTGGTCTTCCCCCCACCCCCTGGATGTATATTCTCCAATGGGACACCTCCATAGCCAAGAGTCATCAATCATGCTCTCCAGTAATAATCTTGCGTACCAACAGCTTCGGCTGCCTAGCAATTATCTGAAGCATTTAAGGAATGCACTACTTTCCCCACTTCCTTTCTGCTGGCAACTAAAAAGACCAAATAAGTATTTTTTAGTTGACAATGACCTTGGTTAGTGGAAAGGACCTGGAGTATTAGATCTGATGGGACAGACAGAAACCACTAGTAGAATGGTGGTCCCACACATAGCCTGGCTTTATGCCATGGAGGACTTTACAGGTGATGACAGCACCTTGAATTATACCTGGGAACCAATGTAGTTTGCAAAGCATCAATTAAGCTTATTGGCATAATGAAAAATGCCCCCAAGATTGCTTATTGCAACATTCTGAACCAGCTGCAGCTTCTGAGTGATCTTTAAGGGCAGCCCCTTGTAGAGTGTGTTGTAGTAATCCAAATGTCTCTTGTAGTGACTGCAAGGACAGGAAACTTGAGAAAGCCGAGAGGGATGGTGCTCTTGAGTTTGTTGTTCGAACCCGCAAAAGAAAATCTGATGTCGTGGTAAGTATCCAATCGTAATGGATTACTTTCTGTTGTAAAATAAGCACATGGCCGTCTGAGCTAAGTAAGATCGTGGTGTAATCCAACACAGCTGGAACTTGCAGTTTGGTTTTATTCCTAGCATCTCTCACTATTGTCTGTGCCTGAGATAATTCTACAAGGAGTTGTAACTGATTAGTATTTGGAGGGCCTGTAAGTTCTCCTGGAACTTGACGGTAGGAGATCTTACAAATTGGTAGCATTCAAACAAGAGTCTTCTCCAAATATTTCTGGAGATAACCAGGGGTTGGAGGTGAAATCTTTCTGTGTCTCTTACATCATCATCATCATCTTCATTTAACGAAGGGATGCAAGGTGGAGTTTGGGCAACTGAATGGAGCTAGCAGAGTGTTTTAATGGCCGGATACCCTTCCTGTCACCATTGTGGAGTTTTGTTCAGCAGATGTATTCTGAGTGTATCCAGAGAAAGAAATATCTGCCTCTACATAGGATCGAATTTGCAGCCTCCTGAGCTCCAATTCTAGGCCACTGCACCACTCCTTTGTGTCTCTCTTTTACATACGTACAGCAAAACTGACTGCAACCGAAGTTTTTCCTCTTGGCCATCCATTTTGTTTACCGTGGACACGAGGGGCTGTTTTCTATGTCTGCTGTTGATCTGCTCTATGAAGGATTTGATTCCAGTCTTGAAACATTAACTTCTTAACTGTTAATGTTGTCGTTGCAGGCTATTGAGTTTGTTTTTGTACTTAAGAGAAAGTAGCAAATCATCTGAAGTGAGGCAATGGATACTTAAGTAGTAGCCCTTGAAATAACTACTTTTTAACTATAACAAGGATGTTTCAAAGTCAGCTGAAGGGACTTAGATCAAGTAGAATAAAATCTAATTTCAGTAGTACATCTATCCTATTTTTACATTGCAAATCTTAGTCCCGAATTACTCTTTTCTTTCAGTTTTTACAAGATCCAGATGAAGATTCCAGTATAAATACAACCAACAGGAAATCAAATGAAAGTCAGGTAATTTTAGCACTTTAACACAACTAGACGTACTGTGACGAAGTTTTCATGGATGGGAAGTTACTTCATAGGCATGAAATGTTACTCTTTTGGTGCATAAATCTGCAAAATAACATTGTTGTTCAATTTTTGTATCCGCCTTTTTTCTGATATCTGATTGTTTGGGTTGGCATGATGTTTAGGTTATCCTAATGTTTTTAATTTGCATTTTCTCTTGCTGGTAGTA